AACCCGTTACCCCTTGTCCTGTCACTACAGGCCCTTGGGAAAAGTCCCCCCAGGTTCCTTGTAGCCCCCCCAGGCACTGGAAGGTGCTATACTCCAGGCTGAACACCCCCCACTCCCCCAGCCTGTCCCCATGGCAGAGGGCTCCAGCCCTCGGAGCATCTTCCTGACCCTCCTCTGGACTCCCTCCAACCGGTCGATATCCTGCTGTTGAGGGCTCCAGAGCTGGACGCAAACCTAGTTACTTCCTTCTTACATCAAGGACCGGAGCACAGAACATACCACCAGTGCTTTGCCAGCTTTAAAATCCGCTTTCCTCCTCTCCATGTCTTGCTCAGCCTTATCAATTTTTTCTTGTCTTTTTCTCCTCTTCCAGGCAATAAAACACTCTAGTGTTATTTTGGTGACGTTTGGTCCTAAGGCAGCACGCTGTCAAGTAAAGAGACTGATTAGGGGTAGAAATTGTTTCCAAAGGCCGTAACCAACGAGGGATTTCATTGCTCTTTCCCAGCAACTAACTGAAGACCTTTTCCAAGCCCTTCGTCGCTCTCACTGCTGCTAAACGAGGGCCATCAGCTGAAAGACCGACAGCACGCCATCTGCCAGTTCGTAAGGCAACGTCGACACGCAAGTTAACGTGAGGAGTGGAGAAGGAGGGAAAACGGTGGTGATCGCTCAGGTTCTCCCCCCGCTGCCTCTGCCAGGCAAGGCCGACGGAAACAAGCAGAGCCCTCAGAAGGCCCCGTTCCCTTGGTGTGGCTGCCTCGTTACAGAGGTCTGCGAGAGCCAGGGAGGCAGTGAGCTGGGGATGAGAAAGGCCCACAGAAGCAGTCGATGAAGGGAAAAGAGCAGTAAGAAATAGGAGCCTCCTAAAAACAGGGGTTAGGAACCCCTGCACTAAGCATCCAACTGCAGTTTAATCTACTCACGAGGTAACAGCTTCAACAGAAACACGTGCCAAATACCACACGTCCTGCACCTGAGCTCACACGGCTGTAAAAACATTTCAACTTCCTAATTAATAACTAAAAAGCGTATTTACAACTGTCCCTCTAAAGTATTGAAAACAAATGCCACCAGAAGGTACCTGTCTGACAACTTTACCTCTTTTTCTATTAGATCTTCTAAGGAAATTTCATCTTGCTTTTCCTCCTTCTTTTTGTCCTTTTTCAGCACAAAGCCTGGCGGGAGAGCGTGGCGATACATGCAGTTGTCTCCGCCGCCCGGACAGACCCAAAACCATCCGTATTTGTTGTTTTCAATAGCATCAAGGAAATATTTGCAGACCTGCATAAAACAACACCGGTCGTCAGCGCTGCATTCCCTTTCCATCCCCAGCGACTCACACCACGCGCGCAGCGAGTACGGTTAAGTCAAAGCCAGTCGGGCTCATGGAGGCATGTGGAACACACTGCTGCTAAAAACCAGACAAAAGCAGGGCCACTCATCACCTAAGACTCACGTCACCAACAGCTTTTTGCCCTTGATAACTGCACTTTGCAAGGACAAGGATGGCGCAGAAGGCTGGCGGCTGGGTACCACCGTAACCCCAGCGGCATGCGTGAGAGCACGCTGGCATCTTCCCGCTCGTCACCAGCAGCGTCGTTTTAATCAAAAATCAACCTCATCTCCCCCCCACCCTGGGAGGTTAAACCTTCCAGGTCATGATCCTGAGGTACAGATGCCACCCTGGCACTTTTAGCAAGCAATTCACAGTTCACACTTACTTAGCCATATCAAGGCTTTGATAATTTAAGCAGTATCAACAGAATAATTATTCAGTATCGAAAACGAGGTGAAATAGTTCTGAAGAATGGGGAAAAAAAGAAGAGACTAAGGGGTTACACCACTTACTGCACGAACTACAGAATGTTCTTGAAGTTAGACATCAGGAACTACAAATTGCTCCCAATCATTCAATTTGAGCTTACAGGAGGAAAATTAACCTTCCACATCCACGTGCCACCCAGGAGAGACACAGGCCAATAGAGCTGGCGGTCACTGGAATGAAGTGACAGACCTATCCCATCGCAGTGCTCCAGCCTTCGGAGCAAGCGGGATGTGTCAGCTACATTATCAATCCCTCCATCTCCAGTCCGAGAGCACGTCACCCGCCAACCATTTTCATCTTAGATGAGGGGAAAAAAAAGCCTTGTGACGACCGAGCGCGCTCCGGGGTGGTTTTAAATACGTTGTTAGAAATACCACCGGCTCGACTGTACCCTCAGCGTATCGTTCTAATATTCCAGAGTCCTTAGACAACCACCGCTAATACCAGCCTGCGGGTCATTCTCTACAGCTCAATTAACAAAAAAAAGAACATACTATTTGAGTTTTGGGTTTTTTCTTTTCCGCCTCACCATGCTTCTTGTTCACCACTTCTTCCAGCTTCTTCTCATCCCAGTTATCCATTGTATCTGGAAAAAAAAGACAACAGATGGTTTCACAAAAATCACACATCCCAACCAGTGCTGTCAGGTTGCTTTTCTCCCCAAGAAGAGTTTTAACATGCAATTCTTATGTTTCAGTTAGTTTATAGAATGGAAAGTAAATTCAGGCCTAGAATCATGGAATGGTTTGGGTTGGAAGGGACCTTAAAGCCCATCTGGTTCCACCCCCCCTGCCATGGGCAGGGACACCTTCCACTAGACCAGGTTGCTCCAAGCCTCCTCCAGCCTGGCCTTGGACACTTCCAGGGATGGGGCATCCACAGCTTCTCTGGGCAACCTGTTCCAGTGCCTCCCCACCCTCTGCGGGAAGAATTTCTTCCTGATCTCCAATCTAAACCTCCCCACTTTCAATTTAAACCCATTACCCCTTGTCCTGTTGCTCTACAATAAGGTTTTCAGGCTCTCCTACGCTGTTCCCTACTTCCTCCAGAGCATCAGAAATTGGTACTTTAACAGAAACACTTTATGCCTGTCAAAGACTAAACAATGCGTCGTTCCACCTGTAAACTGCTGCGCATGGACAAAGGAAAAAAAGGAAAAGGATTGAGTAGAAGAGAAGGTTGGAGGCTAGGGTTCAGCAATAGAGATGGTGTAACTCGAGGATCCAAAGGGATAAGACCACATTTTCTGTGTTCAAGTTAAAAGAAGCAAGATCACCAATGGGATCCTATCACTTCCATTCAGGACAACACAGGCTAAAATTCAAATAGAAGACCAGCACATAATAAAGTACGGAAAATCAAATCATTCTGGCAACAAAACCTCTCATCCCTGCCAATTAAAAGTAAGATCCAGAGTACTGCGTCAACAAACGATGGGGAGAAAGGAGATGAAGTCACAGCAGAAGTCCCAAGCACCCCGAACGGGAGAACCGTGCATCTCTGGGCCAACAGTAGCAGCAGCTCCGGAAGGCAGCGACGACGGCTCGTTAGGCCTGCTCCTCCTCTTACAGAACTCAGGAGAAAGCAGCAAATGTCAGAGAGACCAAGTGCTGCACAAACTGGCTGCCCGTCTGACACACGCTACGCAGCGGGATTAAAACCGCCCCCCGGTACCGCTTGGGCGTACTGCCTTTTCCAGATAAGGTCTAAAGGAAACCTGCGAGCGCGCTTCGCTGCCCTTCGTGACCATGAAGGCAGTGGGATGGGCTGCCTTGGTCAGTGACCCTCTTTGGGATCACAGCCACAACATAACCCGTAATCTTAAAGATCCGGTTTCAGGATCAGAACAGCTCAGCAGTCATTTTCCAGAAGCACGGCACCTTTTTCGAGGTCTTCATCTCTTGCATCGATGTAGACACTTCGTTTTTCACACTTCCTTTCCAGAGACAAATCATGAGAAAACTTGCACTTGTCTCCTTTAGTGCACTGGCCTTGCTTGAAGAAAGCACAAACCACGGATTTGGGGTCAGCACCTGAGCAGAGAAAGGGATTTTAGTACCACTTTTAAGCAAAACACAAAACTGGAGCAGAAGCTGTGTAGGAAGAGCCCTGAGAACAAGGTCTAGGACCACACAATCTTTAGGATCTGTAGGGAACAAACCCACCTCTTAACAACACTCAAGTTCTTTAACGGGGAGTTCATCACAATTGAACGCCCCGTGTCCCGAAGGCGTCCCGTTTACTTTGCATGCTATTTGCATGAAGTACCAAAGCTGGCACATTGAAGAAATACAGACGGCGTGCCTGGGCAACCGACCCATGCGCAGGACGCGTGAAACACATCGCTCTGCAGCTTCTTCCCCGCACCACAAGCCGCTCCTGCCTCTAACAGGCAGCGGAGCATCTCCTGGAGGCTGGCCTTTCCTTCCCAGAGCCCCAGGACAGCTTACAGTAACCTAACTCACGCTCACTCGCGCGGCTTGATTGAACAGCGGAAACCAGATGCCTGCTGACAGCCCCCAGAATAAGCAAGTGCTGTTCTAGCATGAATGATGCTATCCACCCGACTAGAGTTTAACTAGCACCCCACCACGGGAATTATTTGACCCCTGGGAGGCCAGAAAAGAAAGGAAAGCACGTAGAAACATAGTTATGAGACAACTAAAGCAGAAATGCTGTACTTGCAATATTCATTAAGTGCTCACATTCAGTTTTAAGCTCGTTTTCCACTTGCTGATTTTAAGCTTAGTCCAAGTCCCCAGGGACCAGAGTGTGTACAGCAACACCTGCTTAAAACCTTAACTAAAAATCTAGTTTTTAAAGAGAGTGGATCCCTAAAAGAAACTCAGGTAACACGGCCCTCCTTGCTGGCAATCTCCACGGAAAGGCAAAGCTCTAATTAGGACGTTATTAGCCTCCTGAAATAATTTCAAGTCAAGAGCTACATTTTTTGGAGAAAACCGACCACTGGAGATCGTGACCAGAACCTGGCCGTGCTGTCAAGTGCCACAACGAACAAATACCAGGCTTGCTTTAAAGACACACAGAGAAATCACACTCGTGACAGAGAAGTCACGAGTTACTGCACATCATCTCATTAGTTCCAGAAGATTAATGAAGCAAAAGAGTTGATAACATTTAGTTCACTGCCGGAAGGATGATGGCGTGGCTGCCACCTGTAGAGCTTCCTAGACTCAAACACTCTCAAACCTACGTGTTATCACAAAACTGTTCAGTAACTGAGTTCAGGTAAGACCACAACTTCCGAAACCAGGTCCTGCAGGTGACTGTGGGGTGGGACAGAAGTAACTGTCCCGACTGGCACACACGTTTTCTGTGAAGACAAAACTTAGCATACTCTGTTCCCTGAAGCACCTGGATGTTCACATGTCCCTGGGGACAGAGGCTGCTTTAAGCAACTACCACCACACCAAAATAAAACCCCCAACGTGCCGCTGACCCAGGGGTACTTAATTAACGAACCCGAACACAGCAAAGTATCCATAGCTGCCCCGTCATTGTCAGCGTGGCTTTTGATAGTCTAATGACATCGTAACCCCAGCTGACTTCCTAAAAAGAGTCACATCATTACTGAGAAGCGACTTGGTACACTAGAGAGAGAGGAAACAGATCTACTTCACTTGAAAATGAGCTGGATTTTTAGAATTATTTTACCCGTAGTGGATGTATGAATAGGAGAACATAAGAGAATGCAGTGACTCATACCTTTGCTAATTTTCTGTGCAGCGACCACAGGCTTGAAGAGCTCATTTAATTCTTGCAATTCTTTTTTCTTATCTTCTTTCTTTAATTTCTTCTCGCTTTCCGACTGAGCGGCCTGTAACGACCCCAAATTTGAAGTTATCACTACGATTGGATTGACATTACTCCTTTCACCCAAACAGCACATCATTTTACAGTAAGGGGAGGAGAGAAAGAACCTGAGGTTTCCTGAAGCGCTGCCCTCGCCTGAACGGCCAGTGCCATCTAGCGGCACCCACCTCTGGAGCCGGGGAGACAGGCAGAGGCTCCAGAGGCTGGGGGGGACCCTCAGATGACACAGTCACCGCTATCACCCCTTTACAGGCCGGGAAATCGAGTAAAAGGTACCGAGGCCAAGGAGGAAAGTCAGTTGTTGGCTGGTGATGCACGAGCAGCGCAGCTACTCAATGCTGTTACTTCGAGGTGCGCGCAAAAAGCTGCTCTGCCTTTAGTCCCCTACGCGCCGCTTTGTTCTTTCTCCTCAGGAATACCGGCAGCACTTCCAGGAAAACCCTCCGTGGAGGTTAACAATGGATTTCGGAACACTTGGTCTGAATCTGTATCAATTCCTTGCTGAGCAGTGGTTTGCGAGAGAGGAACAATCATCTTGTACGTACCCAGGTCTGAAAGGCAAGCTCTCCTCGAACCAGCAAAGCTTGCCTACGAAGGGAACCCCGGAGCTGTGACCCTGCCCTACCCTTTTTGGCTCAGCCAGAAGAGATCTGTATCTCCGCCCTCGGGATGAAGGCAGAGGGAAGAGGGCACGGGAGAAACGTCATCGGGTGATGTCTCAGCCTTAAGGGATGCCAGCGGCACTAACAGCGCGACCTGAACACGTGGGGTACCTCGCTGGTGAAATACAACAGGGAAAAAAAAAAAAAGGAACCTTGTTCTTGCGGTGAATTTGGCAAGAAAACGCCAAATTATCTCCAAAGGGGATGGATTACTTTGGTTCACATACAGAACAGTCCACAGATCCCACTGCATCCAGCTCACAGATGCCCGCCACAAAAAAATTAGTACTCCAAGAACGCTTTTGTTTCACCCTAGGGTTCTACAGGCAGGAAGGTGAAGCATGCCTTTTTTCCCCCTTTTTAAACAAAAAGGCCTTGAGAGCACTTCCCTGGCTGTCTCAGGACACAACCACCAACGCTTTAGCGTTCCTCCTTCCTCAGGGACAACCCTCAGCATTTTATGGGGTAGGAAGGTAGAATCAGATCTAAAGATTAGCTCCTGACATCCATCAGGCAATAGGTAAGAGCACTTGAGATACTCATTATTGCAGGTTGGCTAATTTGCACGCTGGTATCCCGTTAAATGCTACGGACTCGGGGACTTCATACAGGAATCTCGGAGGAAGGGTGCGAGTCATGCTGATGTTTCCGAAGTGATGCCAAGCAGTCCTCTCCGTTAAAAATCGTTAGATCTAATGACCCAAGCATCGGCTTCACCTCTAAAGCTGACACTTGTTACTCCATCCTTACGCTGTGCAAGGAATGTGGCATAAATTGTGACTTCCTAAATGTTCCAGCACCGGGAACGGGACGAGCACTGAGCAACTGCTTCCCTTGTGCGGCGGGAACGAGGGACCTGGCTCACTTCCGCTAACAAAGATACCCTTAATGAACTCCGTGCCTTCTGACTGGGTGGAATCTGAACGTTGCACCTCGGCCACGTCACCTCTTAGCTCATGTGCTGGGTTCAGCCAGGAAA